ATCTTGCCAGTGGGAAAGTTCTAAACAGGTATGTAATCTTGCCAGTGGGAAAGTTCTAAACAGGTATGTAATCTTGCCAGTGTGAAAGTTCTAAAAAGGTAGGTAATCTTAGTAGTGTGAAAGTTCTAAAAAGGTAGGTAATCTTACCAGTGGGAAAGTTCTAAACTGGTAGGTAATCTTTTCAGTGAGAAACTTCTCAACAGGTAGGTAATCTTATAAGTTGGAAACTTCTAAACATGTAGGTAATCTTACCAGTGGGAAAGTTCTAAACAGGTAGGTAATCTTATAAGTTGGAAACTTCTAAACAGGTAGGTAATCTTATAAGTTGGAAACTTCTAAACAGGTAGGTAATCTTATAAGTTGGAAACTTCTAAACATGTAGGTAATCTTATAAGTTGGAAACTTCTAAACATGTAGGTAATACTACCAGTGGGAAAGTTCTAAACAGGTAGGTAATACTACCAGTGGGAAAGTTCTAAACAGGTAGGTAATACTACCAGTGGGAAAGTTTTAAAAAGGTAGGTAATCTTAGCAGTTGGAAAGTTCTAAAAAGTTAGGTAATCTTAGCAGTGGAAAAGTTTTAAACAGGTACGTAATCTTAACAGTGGAAAAGTTCTTAACAGCTATGTAATCTAACTAGTGAGAAAGTTCTAAACAGGTAGGTAATCTTAACAGGGGGAAAGTTCTAAACAGGTAGGTATTCTAACCAGTGCTTACCTTACCAGTGTGAAAGTTCTACACTGATTACCTTAGCAGTGTGTTAGTTCTAAGCTACTGACCATATCAGTGTGTAAGTGCTAAGTTGGTATTCTTATCAGTGTGTAATTCAAACTTAGCAGGGTGATCTGTATTAAAATAATACATACCTTCACGTAGAGACCAATCCATACCCATTTCCAAAGCTTCCTCCAAGTCTCTGTGAGTAAAAGTGCAATACATGTCTTGAAAATGCCCTAAAACTTTTAGAAAGTAGTTTACTCTTATATCTGACCAAAAAACATTCAAGGAAAAGGGTATTCTGTTTGTTCTTCCATGATTCATAGATTATTCATAAGAAGCAACAAACACCATAGGGGTTAATAACCTAATTTACTATCAAAAGACTAACATCTCAAGATAAAATCTGTACAACTAAAAGCTCAACTTGAAATTGAAAAGCTAACAACTCAATTTGAAATTGTACAAACTTTGTTCTTAGAAAAGGTTAAAAAACATATGGAAGTCTTGTATCTTTACCATCAGAAGTATCTGTTTAAAGTATTGTATCTTTACCATCAGAAGTGTTTGCTTAATGTCTTGTATCTTTACCATCAGAGGTGTCTGTTTAAAGTATTGTATTTTTACCATCAGAGGTGTCTGTTTAAAGTATTGTATCTTTACCATCAGAGGTGTCTGTTTAAAGTATTGTATCTTTACCATCAGAGGTGTCTGTTTAAAGTCTTGTATCTTTACCATCAGAGGTGTCTGTTTAAAGTCTTGTATCTTTACCATCAGAGGTGTCTGTTTAAAGTCTTGTATCTTTACCATCAGATGTGTTTGTTTAAAGTCTTGTATCTTTACCATCAGATGTGTTTGTTTAAAGTCTTGTATCTTTACCATCAGATGTGTTTATTTAAAGTCTTGTATCTTTACCATTAGAAGTGTTTATCTTTACCATTAGAAGTGCTTGTTTAAAGTATTCTATCTTTACCATTACATGCGTTTGTTTAAAGTATTGTATCTTTACCATCAGAAGAGTCTGTTTAAAGTATTATATCTTTACCATCAGAAGAGTCTGTTTAAAGTATTATATCTTTACCATCAGAAGAGTCTGTTTAAAGTATTATATCTTTACCATCAGAAGAGTCTGTTTAAAGTATTTTACCAATTAGAGGTGTTTGTTTAGTCTTGTAGTTTGACCATTAGATGTGTTTGTTTAAAACAATGATGCAATGTTGAATACAAGTACATCAGGTAACACATCCAGACATACAAATGGAGTACAAATCTGACAGAGTAACAATATTACAATTAATACTTAATGCATTAGACTGATAAAGTAACAGTGTTAAAAGTAATATTTAACCAACTATGAAACTGATAATATTATGATAGAATTTTACAAGATACAAGACTGATAAGGTAAATTGATAGAATTAATATTTAACTCTCACCTAGCATTCATTGGAATAATTCCTTTTGAACCCACACCAACAGGTATGTGGTCAAACATGTTTTGGGCCAGCTGCTCTTTCACTGGAAGAACATCTTTTTCCATGAGGTTGGTTCTTAGCAGCCTTACTCCACAGTTAATATCAAAACCTACTCCACCTTAAAACAAGCAAACCATGATGCTTAACCAACTTCATACACTGCCTACATTTGAATGTGAAATATCACTGCACCTTAAAACAAGTAAACCATGAAGTAGTTTTAGAACTTATGAGTAAAAACAAAGAATATGTTACATCCCAACCAAACTAACTCTGCCATATTCAGTACCAATGAGCTCTCTCACCTAATACCAAGGTTC